AAGGGGGGATGCACGGGGAAAGATGGAAGTACCCCCGAGCCTGCTTTCCAAACCTGGCCCAGTGGGTCACAATGAATGGATCTGGACGTCAGCACGCCTTCATACAGATCAATCGCCCCAGCGATAGTTTTAAAGAATGGGAGCAGAAAACCAGGGAAAGGGGGATGCACGGGGGAAGATGGCAGTACGCCCGAGCCTGCTTCCAGACCTCCCTTCATACATATCACCACCTCCTGATCTATACCTGCCCCCCTTCGCATGGGCCTTTTGACAGCAACAATAGACCGCTCGCTGTAAGGGAGCAGAAAACCAGGGAAAGTTAAAAAAAAAAAAAAAAAAAAAAAAAAAAAAAAACAAGAAAAAAAAACATGGGCGCGGTGCCACCAGCAAAGAGGATTGGATAGAATGCCTGAATCTGGACGAGTTTATGGAGATGTGTGGGAAATCGAGATTGAACTGCTTTTCTGCATCTCTGCTTAAAACACATCCAGATTCAGGAGCTCGATCCTATCCTTGTTGCTAGTGGGACCTCGGCCCAGGGGAAGGTGGGCCACCTCCAGATTGGAACCAGGTCCACAAACACCTCCAGATTCAGGCGTTAAATCCAATCCTCTACGTATGCCAGTTTTTTTCCCCTTCGTCTGCAGGAAGTGGCCCAATCTTTTTTCTTTAATTAATGACCCAATCTTTCTTTTCTTTTCTTTTTTTTCCTTCCCCCCTCCCCCTCTCCCCCCTCCCTCCCCTTTTTGAACAACCCCTTTACACTCTGGTAGACTCGACAGAACTGGCAGTTAAAAATACAAAAAAAAACTCGAAATGAATTGGCCCAATCCCTGCAGACTGTGACGATACCCTGGGGCGAGCTCCCGCTAGCAGAGAGGATTGGATTTAACGCCTGAATCTGGACGTGTTTGTGGACCTGGTTCCTGTCTGTGGTAGCTGCGGATCGTCGTCAAGTCAAGAGAGGAAAAGAAATAGAACAATTGGGGGAAGCGTCTGGAGCGTGTTGCACCTTGTGTTCTTGACTTGCTGGTGGAATGGATCTAACGCCTGAATCTGGATGTGTTTGTGGACCTGGTTCCTGTCTGTGGTAGCTGCGAATCGTCGTCAAGTCAAGAGAGCAAAAGAAATAGAGCAATTGGGGAAAGCGCCTGAATCTGGACGTGTTTGCAACTTGTGTTCTTGACTTGACAGTGGAATGGGAACCGAACCGTTGCTCCCCACAACGGACAAGGAGCCAGGGGCCACAAGGCCCTGTTAAATAAAGAAATGTGAAAGAGAAAGCGAAGAGAAGAGAAAGGGGAAGGGGAGGAAAAAGGAGAGGGACGGGAAAAAAAAAAGAGCGAAACAAGCAGAGGAAAACAAGCGGAGCAGAAGAAGCAGGGCAAAAGACAACAAAGCAGAAAAAATAAAAAATAAAAAACAAAGCAAAAAAAAAAAAAAAAAGAGCAGAAGAAAAGAAAGGAACCGAAAAAGTGATGTGAAAAAAGGCTAGGGGATTGGACCCGTTGGTAATAGAAATTGTTTTTTTTTTTTTAAGGGCAAAACAAAAACACAAGGAAATACCCCTGCCCTCCCCTCTCTTTGTAGCCATGGTGAGTGATGACAGAGATAGGCCTCATGGTATCGCCAGGTTGTAATGAAGAAAATAGTGCTGGTGGTTATTTGAAAAGGGGATTTGTTTTTTGCAGGTTTTGTCGTTTGCTGATATTATATCTCTTCCCCTTTTTTTTTCCCTGAAATTCTCCCTTTCTTTAAAAAGAGCGATATGGCCTTGACGCATCATTGTTGAAATGACCAGCGCCGCCCCATAGTTGGATTTGGGTTCGAACTTGGGACTGCGCTCCAGCAGTTCATGCTTGTACCAGGTGAGCTAGGCCCGTTGGTATTTCTTTCCTCACCTTATGTGTGTGTTGTTGTGGGTCTATTTTTTTCCCCTCTACCCATCCTCTGCCACATGTTGTCGGTGGTTGTGATTGTTTTTGTTTTTGTTTTTGTTTTTTATTTTTAATTTTTCGGTGATCATCCGTGGCACATTATTGGATGGAGACAGGAATAGCGCAAGGTTTTTGTGGAAAAGGATTCCGACGAACATCAAGCAGAGCAACCAAGAGCTTGCAGCAGTCTGGGCCATTGTGCAAAAGATGTGGCTGCGGAATCGTGCACAATGCCATGAAGCCATTCGAGGGTTCCCTTGGAGCCCAATCCTCCAGCCTGTCATCGCAGCAGTTGCAGGTCAGACATCTTCTGCACCAACGGCTCCCTCTCCGTGGGTCCATACATGTACCTCTGTGTGTGTGTGTGTGTGTGTGTGTGTGTGTGAGAGAGAGAGAGAGAGAGAGAGAGAGAGAGCTGTAATGGGAAATATATTGCATACTCATCACACTGACAAGGGGGGGGTTAAAGAAAGAGAATCAAGAAATGAACTGTACGTGAGCACAGTGGAGAACTCCCTACTCGGCATCCGAGGCAGAGTGTTGTCAGAATTATTATGCTTTCTTGAGGATGCCGTTTAGCGTCTGAAGGGGAGTACTCCCCGTTCAACATCTGTGGTAGGCCCAGAGGGCAGTGCTTGGTGCTCACCTGCAGCTGGGGTTAAGGCGGGGGTTATCACTTACGGTGTCATTGGTTAGGGGACTCTTGCGGCTTTATCTCCTGATGAGCTGGTGGGCAAAATACGGTGATGAATCATGGCGGGGAGTAAATAGTAAATAGTACAAAGGCAGAAGCAATCGTCATCCGAGTACGACAGAATGTAAACGTAATGCGACAGAATGTAGACGTAATGATGAACTGACAGGAGACAAAGACTCGAGGAAGAACATGCATGCATGTGTTTCTGTGTGTTTCTCTGTGTGTGCATGTGTGTGTGTGTGTGTGTGTGTGTGTGTGTGTGTGTGTGTGTAATTTTGGACATAAGGCCACCACGATCGCCGTGAGCTGGGTTCAGATATACAGTCAATATCATACGAAAACAGAGAGCAATCCGCATCATATGGTAAATACAGATGCACACATCTCAAACAAGCAAGCATAAGAATGTGCATACAGCGACCTTTATCTTTCACCAACCCTACATTGTACACGCGGAAAAGGGCAAACGACAAGAAGCAGCGAAGCACACAACCAACAGCAAGGCAAATAACGAATCAGGTCACACAGTCGGAGGGCACGGGGGAGGCGGGCGGACGGCCGGCCAAACAGTACAAGGCAACAAGGGGAAGGCAGACAAAAGGTGGTGCGGGATCGATGAGCAGCAAGCAGCAAGGCAAAAAGCATGGAGGCAATGAGCTTGAACAATAAGCGGGAGCAAACCATATAGGTTGGAGGGTATGGGGGAGGCAGGTGGGCATACAAGCAACAAAGGAAAAGAAGTGAACTACGCAGGAACAAGGCAGAAGCAACAAGGCAACAAGCAGAAAACCAGNGTGTGTGTGTGTGTGTGTGTGTGTGTGTGTGTGTGTGTGTGTGTGTGTGTGTGTGTGTGTGTGTGTGTGTGTGATTTTGGACATCATGCCACCACGATCGCGGTGAGCTGGGTTTAGATATACAGTCAATATCATACGAAGACAGAGAGCAATCCGCATCGTATGGTAAATACAGATGCACACATCTCAAACAAGAAAGCATAAGAATGTGCATACAGCGGCCTCTATCTTTCACCAACCCTACATTGTACACACGGAACAGGGCAAACGACAAGAAGCTGCAAAGCGCACAACCAACAGCCAGGCAAATAACGAATCAGGTCACACAGCCGGAGGGCACGGGGGAGGCGGGCGGCCGGCCGGCCAAACAGTACAAGGCAACAAGGGGAAGGCAGGCAAAAGATGGTGCAGGATCGATGAGCAGCAAGCAGCAAGGCAAAAATCATGGAGGCAATGAGCTTGAACAAGAAGTGGGAGCAAAGCATATAGGTTGGAGGGCATGGGGGAGGCAGGTGGGCATACAAGCAACAAAGGAAAAGAAGTGAACTACGCAGGAACAAGGCAGAAGCAACAAGGCAACAAGCAGAAAACCAGAAAAAAATACAAGTCCCAGAAAAAGCAAAAGACCAAAAGAAAAACAAAACTGATGATAACAAGATTGTTTCGTCGGAGTTGCACTGACTCATTAGGAGGCTGAACCCTCGACAATCTGCGAAGTCTTTGTATTGGATGGGTTGAGTCATGAACCCTTTGACCAGACTGTCCCCCGAACGGAACACGGGAGCAGGCAGCAACCAGCAAAGCACCAGGCATCTATACAGAGGCAACATGGCTCCTCAACGCCAAAGACGACTGCAAGGAACGACACGGCAAGCAGACGAACAGCACAGCAACCGTGAAGTGAAGCACGAGGCAACACAAGCAAGGCAACCGCACTGCCAAGGACTACAGGGTGAGTGGACAAGCAGCCCAGCAACCGTGCAGCGAAGCACAAGGCAACACCAACAGGGCTACCACACTACAAGGCACGCAAGCAATGAACACAGAAGGCACAACCAGCGGATGGCCGGCAAGGCAGCGGAGCAGCGAAGCGCAAGGCAACACCAACAACACGGCCACACCACACAGCAAACACAGCAACTTGCAGAGAACCACATGCGAAGCAAGTGGGACAGGCAGCAAGGCAGCGGCGGAGMGCAGACGAGGCARTCCACACATCCAACACAGAGCAAAGCGGCACATCACCTACTCACATCAGGAGAACACCGCAGACTGTTGGTTCCCACCACCCACTGAGCCAGGGAGTCACTCCGGCGAGCATCYGTCATCACCCACAGGCAACACAGACATCCCGAACCGAGCAGCCCCCCTAAGAGTGCTGTAGGCACTCCAGACGAGGAACCATCGACTGTTTGGCACTACTTGAAGGTGCTCAGTTGGGCACACAAAAAATGCTTAGAAAAATCAGAGGAAAGACAAACAACAAGAGGAAGACAGACAAACAGAAATAAACTGATTGTGTGTATGTGTGTGTGTGTGTGTGTGTGTGTGTGTGTGTGTGTGTGTGTGTGTGTGTTTGTGTTTGTGTGTGTGTGATGCTCCGTTTGACTTTCAGAGGACTATCGGGAATCAATGTACAAGCTTTTGTGCACAGCGTACTCGACCATCTCCTTAGCTGATGCGGCAGCGTTCCTAGGACTTCCAGAGTGCGACACTGTTAACTGTGAGTCTTTTGCTTCTTCTTTCCCCCCCTTTCCCAATTGTTTCAGAGTTCTCCCATGCAGGCAGGTTTGGGGTGTGGCATGATTTGCCCTGGCATCGTGCGGAGGATGTTGATTTCAAGAACTCCATGCACGACTACTGCCATGTAATAATTCGCATTTGCCATTGTTCTACTCCGTCATCATTCCCTAGGTTTGTTTCCCTTTGTACCCGTACGATGTGTTTCGGTTTACATGCCTACCTTTCTTTCGATCTTGTCCTTTTGCATCGCTTCTGTATCGTCTTTCCCCCGAATAGAACGTATGGTCATTTTAGCTGTATTTGGGGTAACCTTCAGTCTAGGTACAGCAGTAATGACGGCACACTCTGTCTGGGTGAAGACGAATGTGATGCATCCTGCACCCCAATCAACACACTGTTCGCTATGAGCTGTCTACTTCTTTTCCTTTGTCTCCTACCAGTAGCAGTTTGAAATTCGTTTAATGCAGCCTGGGCTGGATTGAGGCATTGCTTGGCTCTGACTTTTGTGTGGTGGAGGTGGCTTTGGTAAAATTGTGTATGTGGTCTCTGCTGTTGTGTATGTACATTCGTAAAGGATGACTATGTATGTATGTGGTCTCTGTTGTGGTTCTCAGACCTTTGTCTCAAGTACATCCCTGCCTTTCAATGCTTGGCTTGCGCTTTGTTTGATGCGTGCTGGTCAGCCACCCACACCCCCCTTGTCAGATGTACACGATAACCAAGTATAATGTAGTCTCTCTATGCTGCTTTTGCTGCCCTCAACCGTCTTCGCCTGAACAGAACGTAGGGTAAATATGGCTGTATTTGGGACAAATTTTCAGTCTAGATACAGGAATAATGACCGTACGTTCTTTATGCGGAAGGTGGTGGGTGTCGTGCTTCCATGCACGTTGTTTGGTGCATCGTGGATTGTGGCAATGCACAGTCCATTGTTGTCCTTGCCAGGCCTGTCATCTACAAGACTCTTGCTGTCGTTTTCTTAGGAAGGTACTTGACAGTGCACGTGCGCATAGCTGCCTTTCGTTCCCCCCTCTCTTTTCAGYGACTTACATCRCATTTTGGGTTYATTGTGGTCCTTGCTTGTTGGAATGGSGTTTGACTCTGGTTTGGCCTCATCGAYGGCAATGACAATGCAATGAATGATGCAGTGATGGTGTCTCGAGGCTGCAGTATCGATCCTGCGACAAAGATGCTCACAGTCCGAGCAAGGCCCACGGTTACCGATCAGAAGACCAATATGGGCCATCTCCAGAAGCTAACAGAGTATGTCTTCCACCTGGAGCACTGATGGCATGCAGAGATCSACAGCTCCTGCAACACACTTCCGGCCTTCGCTGTCTCCGTTGTCCTTGGCAGACCCAACAGGTATAGGAGAGCAAACTACCAGGAGGGGAAATCCTGAAGAACGTAAACTCAGGCATCAGGGAAACTGATAATTTTTTGTACTGTACAGGCTGTGTTTTGTGGTGG